AGCAGAATAATTTAAGTTTGTAATACTGGTATGATATGGCAAGTGGAGCCGGCCCAGGGGCCCATGTGGTACTGTAGCGCGTGAACAGAACCCGTCAAATTAGATTAGATTGTTTGGTTTGTTAGGAAAGGGATAAGTTAGATTGATTCGGTTAGGATATTCCTTAGGGGTCAAGTAAGTTGTCTCTATAAAAGGGGCCGTCATGTATCAATTAGAAGAAATCATAAGATAGTTCCTGAGGAAGGGCAGCTATCTAGGGTCTCTCTGCTAATCCATCTATCTGTAGCCATTCCATAACATGGTACCTGATTACTTAACCTCATCAGAGTAGGTGTGATCAGCATATATCATAACTTGTAGAACACGAGATTCCTATTTTTAATGAAGCCACATTAATTTCTTTGATGTTGGAAACTGGACCCTGTGTTAAATTTAGCTCTATGTGAAAGATATTGTGCTGATTTGTCCTTGACTCTAGTTGTATCTATATCTCTGAAACACTGCGATAAGTGACTTTGGTCAAGTCAAAGGCTCATAATCATGTACCAAAAGTCATGTAAACGTACATAATAAGATTTTACGCTTTTATTGATGATGGTAATTATATTCCCAAAAGAAAATCTAATGTTCAGTTTGATGAAACCTTCATATTCATTTGTTGCTTTTGTTCTGAACTCTTTCTGGTCATGATAACAGGTTAAAGGTAAAGCAGCTATTGACGTTGTCTGCAACCCCTTGGGGAAATCTGGAGGTGCTTTGATCCAGCAGTTCATGATCCTGTCATTTGGATCTCTTGCGAATTCGACACCCTACCTTGGTGGAATACTCCTGGTGATTGTTCTTGCATGGCTGGGTGCTGTAAGGTCCCTCGACTCGCAGTTTTCTTCCCTGGCAAAGCAAGATCTCGAGAGAGAAAAGATGCTGAAAGCACAGGCCGTCGAAACAACTGCCAAAGTAGTCGGGACTGGAAATGGTTCTCTCCAAGAAACTCTACCTAGTGAGCCGTCTACAAATGGCGCAGCCACCAAACAGTCTCAAGAATCTGAGAGTACAACCACGGAGAAATCAGGCCAACAGTCTCAATAAGTTTTCCCCAAGAAATTTAGTTAGTACAAGCCTTTGGAGGAGCCAAAAGTTTCTTGGGCCTTTTATCTGGAGCTGCTGAAGAAGGCAGGAATGATATGAGAAATAAGAAGGCCTGTTCTTCTGTTGTTGTAGCATATTTTTTACTTCACCGTGAGTATATGTAGCTGTTTGTTTCATTCCATAGGTATAAACTGTTTCTTTTTGTTATTAAAATTTTGGGGAGTCTGCTTCATGATAATCTTCATTAGCTAGTCCTTAAAAAGGGCGTACCCAGTGCAGAGAGTTCCCGCTCTGTGTGGGGATCTAGGAAAGGGTGTTAGTGGCAAGCCTTACCCTTGCCTGTGCAATGCGAGGAGACCGCGATTGAACCCGAGGACCTTCCGGTCACAGGCGGTAAGACTACATTTACACCAGGCCTGCTCTTCCTTCATTAGCTAGTCCTTGTTGTGAAAAAATATTTTGCCTGGTTTTGATATTTATGGGTATCATATATTTCATATCCATATTCCTACTAAACAGTGATGTAGCCAGGGTCCTTTTACACGTAAGGTTCATGCATGGGCTTTCCCAGGACAAATACTCTCTCTGTAGAATGTAATTCTCGCTTCTCGAGAAGTCAATCAGTTTAAGTTTAAACCTTAACCAAAATTATATAAAAAAATACTAACATACCTGATGCAAAATTAGTATTATTAGATTAGTCATAGAATATATTTTTATAATAAATTTATTTGAAACATAAATATTAATATTATTTATTATAAATTTGATTAAACTTGAGTTACTTTTTAACCCGATATGGATTACGTTCTTTTCTAGATGGAGAAAGTACCTTTACTGAGCATAAAAGGCAGGCATGATCATGGTTCAGTCAGTGATGCAGAATGCTCATACTCTGACGGAATTGGGAATGTTTTTGTGTGATCGCTAGAGACCACTGGGAATGTTTTTCCTTTTTATCGATGGTTATATGGTACGTATAATCCGGAGCTGATATCCCCTTTCGTTCCATGGATACATGATAGTGGCTGGCCGACTAGCTCCCTGGTACCGAACTACCGATACATAAGTGGTCTCACTTAACTGACATGATTGCAACAAGGTCCGTGTTTGCCTGTTTGGTTAGTGGTCACCTCTGGCCTGGTTTCTGAAACTAGCCCTCGGCCCTGTTCGCTTCCCTGTTTGGTTAGTGGTCACCTCTGGCCTGGTTTCTGGAGCTAGCCCTCGGCCCTATTCGTTTCTCTTATAATCCGTACTTTTCAGCTTGTTTTTTCAGCCGGAATAGTATTTTTCTCTCACATGTCACAACAAATCAGTCGGAACAATGTTTTGACTTATTTTTTCAACGAAGTGAACGGGCCGAGCTTGTTTGATGGCTGTAAATGGGTTGAAGCCTGGCTTCGGAGAGCCATCCGTTCGTCCCTGGCCTGGCCAGGAAAGAACGCAGGTGGAGGTTGTTTTTGTTGAGCCAGGCTTGGCCAAGCCTTCGTCTCGGTTCGCGTCACCTCCCGCGCGGTGCTGCGCTCATTGACCTCCCCGCAAGCGCGCCGCCGCTCCTCGCTCGCGCCCGCTCCTCCTCCTTGCGCTCCTCGTCCTCCTCCCATGCTCCTCCTCCCGTCGAGGCTCCGAGCAGAGCACTCGCGATCGCTGTCGCCGGCTGCGCCATCAGACGACAACATGGGGGAGTCTTCCTCCGAGCTCTGTGCCGCATCCAGTAGCAGCCAGGAGCTCCTCCTCCCAGATGGCATGCGTCGAGCACCGGGTGGCTGGTGTGGCGGCGCGCCGCCGGCATTGGCATGGGCACCACCAGATCCTGTCTGCTCCCGTTGTCCCCACTGCTAGGACACCACCAGGGCCCAGCCAAGGTGCTGCGTCGCCGGCCATGGCGAGGGGGTAGAGCTGCTTGGTCTTTCTGCTTCCTTCGGCGTACACCCACCACCCACACCCATCTCTTGGAAGAAGCGGCGGGGATGGAAAGGAGGAAGGGCGCGGTGTGCCATGCTCGTCGTGCGGGGATGGAAAGGAGGAGGAAGGCTGTGCTCGTCGCGCTTGCCCTGCTGCTCGCCTTGCTGCAGCCGTGTCTCATGTCCACCACTTGTTCGACGAAATGCCTCAAAGGGTAACCTTACCGAATCGGATAAGAGCTGACTGTATCAAAACAAACCAGACAACCAAATACACCCTGGGGCTAGCCAGCCTTAAACAGTACAGACAACCAAACAATCAGAGGTTGGCTTAGTGGAAATAGGCTAAGGTTGTCCAAGATTCTTAGCAGAATAGAAATTAGCGAGAAAACCAAACACACCCTTATCCTGTCGAGGCGAGCAGAGCACTCGCGATCGCTGGTCAGCTACGCCATCAGACAACAACATGGGGGACATCTGATGTGAGGCTATGTCAGCCAAAAGCACTTTCAAAACTGCTCAGAGAGGAATTCGGATGATTTCAAGAGTTGGAGGTATCTACATTTTTTTGGAAGGAGATATCTACAAATTTGGTTTTTTTGAAAGAGGCAAACTGAACTCATGCAAATAGTTGAGGGAGATTAGATGGACTTCTTTCATTATTAAAAGAAAAGGTCAACATTACCACCCTCAACTTTTTGTGAAAGTCTGCTTTTTCCTCTATGAACTCTAAAACTGAGTAAACCAACTTCCTGAACTTTTAAAATAGTTTGTTTTACCTCCATGACTAATTATAAGCGGTTTTCAAAGGCGATTTTGTCTTTTTTTTTTTATTTATTTAGGTCCAATCTTTTAAAAATCATAGTAAATCATAGAAAAATCATAAAATGAAAAATTCAATTTTTTTGGACTCCACATGAGTAGATATACACAGTGAATATATAATATGGTATGCTTTAGTACAAATTTTTTGTTGTAGCTTTAGATTTATACTTTTCTATAGTTAATTCATAGTTGCAGTTTTTATGGTCCAATTATGGTAAATTTTTTTATGATGGGCTAATTATTGTATGCTTGAATTATAGTAAAAATTTTATACTTATTGGATATATATATATAACTTAGTTATAGATTTATAAATACTTTTTAACAAGCATACACCTAAATAAAGATATAACTAAGTTATACATGATCCAATAAGTATGAAATTTTTACTACAGTTCAAGCATACAATAATTAGCCAACCTTAAAAATCTCATTACAATTGGACCATAGAAACTGCAGTTATAAATTAATTATAAAAAAGCATAGATCTAAAGCTATAACAAAAAAATATTCTAAAACATACATATATGTTCACTGTGTAGATCTACTCATGTAGAGTCTAACAAAATTAGATTTTTCATTTTATGATTTTTCTTGATTTACTATTCTTTTTCAAAGATTCAGCTGAAATAAATAAAAAAGAAAAAAAACAAAACCGCCTTTGAAAATCGCTCATAACCGGTCAGTGAGGTAAAACAAATGTTTTTAAAAGTTTAGGGAGATGGTTTAACCGGTTTTAGAGTTGAGAGAGAAAAAACAGACTTTTGTAAAAGTTGAGAAGGTAATGTGGACTTTTTTTTCCTTATTATTAAAATCTTGACAAGTTGTGCGGAAAGCCCACATGCAAATATTCCAATTGGGCCATATCCATAAGTTGGGCCAAGACTGAGAACAAGTTGCTCTGACGTTCTGCACGGCGGGGACTTGGCCCATCCACACTACGCCATCGCCCCGTGAGCGAAACGGACGGCTGAGATCGGCTGGCCGCAGATGGCGAGGGGACAGGCCGACCCGTGATTTTTCCAGATCAGATCCGACAGCTCGCCTTCCCGTCTTCTCCTCTCCCCCACACCCCGGGCCGGTCGTCGTCGTCGCGGCGTGAGCGAGCGAGAGCGAGAGGGGAAAACCCAAAACCCTAGCTCCCACCGCCACCGCCCCGTCGCCGACGGCCGCCAGAGTAGAGAGATGGCGGTAGACGAGGTGAATTCGGTCTACGTCGGCGGCCTTCCCTACGAGGCCAACGAGGAGATGCTTCGCGACGCCTTCGGGTACTACGGCACCATCGTCTCCGTCAAGGTCCGCCCCGCTCCTCCCCCTCTATTCTCCGTTTAGTCAGCTCCCGCGTTTGCTCTCGAGAAAGTTTTCCGGGCGCTGCTGGTTTGATTCGATGGTGTGAGGCTGTGCTGCGGCCGGTGATGTTTTTTTTGAAATATATGGCGGAAAAGCGGGTTGATTTTATTACGTGGGTTTTTTTGTCACGTTTTTCTTCTGCAAAATGTTCTTCTCCTTTTTTAGGATCTTAAGTGAGGATCTCGGGAGTGGTTGTCTTACAAAAAAAACAGCAAACAGCATGAGAACACGAAGGAGAGAAAATAGAGAACACGAAGGAAAGAAAATAGAGGAGGTGGTGTGCGCCCATTCCCAGTTTTGGATGGCTAAACTAATTTAATGCCAAGATGAATTGGCAGGTAGAATTGTTTTGAGTAGAGTTCAGATTTTCAGTTCATCTGGGTACTGTATTTGCACGGTAGATGTTTGGTTTTCTTTTGGATGCCGAGGGCATTATGGTTTATATGTCTCGAGCATCTTACTTTTCTTCAACTGAGAGGAGTGTGAAGATGATGGCATCCTCATTTGCAAAGATATGTGGAATTGCCAAACCACAAACATACATACAGAAAGACAAAAGCAATCTCATTTGGTTTTGTTTTACTTGTTTGCTAGTATGATTTAGCAGTCAATGCTTCCTAGTGTTGTTTTTTAGACCAAAGGCACTTTGGTCCAGCTTATATTGAAAGCCAGAGTCACTGCTGGGGAAACCAGCTTACACTGAAGCGTTTACGACATACGCAAAATAGCCAAAGTTTAAACCTCACCACCTCACCTCTCATAAAGGCCAAGACTAAGGCAAAACACAAAAGGACCAGAAACGCTCTACGCCTACTTCCTAGTGTTGTAACCAACTGTTTTGAGTCTGTGAGATTATATAGCTTTTGTTTCCTGATTAATTTGTGCATTCCAGGTGATTAATGATCATTCTGTCAAAGGCAAGTGTTATGGTTTTGTTACTTTCACTCACCCCAGAGCTGCTGAGCAAGCAATTGCAGGCATGGACGGCAAGGTATATAGTATGCTTCCTTTTTTTTAACTTACTTGGCACCTTTCCTTTATCTTTTGTTTAACATGTCTTTTTGTTTGGAACAGAAATTAGGCAATCGTATTGTTCGAGTAAATGAAGTGCGTACAAGAGGTCCCCGAGATTTTGGTCGAGATGGTTTCAGACGAGATCCAAGAAGGTATGGTAGAGATCCATACTGGGACAGAAGGGTTAGGGAACGGAGCTATGATCGTGAAAGGGATCCGTACCATGACAGGGATAGTGATAGATCCCGTGAGCATGATAGAGAAAGAGATTATGAGCATGGTGGCTTTAATCGAGAAATTGACTATCCCATGGATCGAGATCATGAAGTAGACGAGAGATGTCCTAGAGAACATGATCGTGCAGAGGAAATGCATAATATGGATTCAGATAATGACAAAGATAGGGAACATGGAACAAGAAAAAGGTTCAGGTGCCATGTTGATTTTGTTTTTCATAGTGGGGAGTTATGTTGATATTTCTAACCATGGTAGCTATTTTTAATATTTGAATGAAAACAACATTGTGTTTGATATATTGATATGCATATTTTAGGTATTTGCAGAGTGCTTAATTGATGTTCTTGGGCCATTTGAAATTAATTTACTAGAGCATCTGGTCCTTAACTTGGATGTCGCATTTCAAGATCTTGGAACGTACTAGGGAAAATTTGATTGCAGCCTTGTAGCCATGCTGTCTTATACTCCCTCCATTCCAAATTGTAAGACGTTTTGGCTTTTCTAGATACATCACTTTTGTTATGCACTTAGATGTACACTATGTCTAGATACATAGTAAAAGCAATGTATCTAGAAAAGCTAAAATGTCTTACAATTTGGAACGGAGGGAGTAGATAAATAAGAAAAGGGCCATATTCACCTTAGAGAAGTTTGAACAGCAATTTTTAGTGATATTTATATGTTTCCCTGCATTACTCTCTATATCCACTCAATTATTTTTAAGTTAATATAGTGAATACTGGCTGCACAATTAGAATGATGAGCAGGTTTGATGATTTGTTCATCCTAACGTGTAAAAATTCTTGTATGCTGACTAGTGGCCTTGCAGATTGCATAAACTTGTATACAATACAGAATCATTATCATATGCTGAAACTGGGTACATTTTTTTTATAAGGAACTGGGTACATTATTGGAGACCATGTTTGGTTGCCCTTACTGTGAAATTTACACCATTGTTGTGTCTTAAGTCCAGATTTTAATGTACTGACTACTGTCTATTTATAAAGAAAGGTTGTACCGCTATAGGAAATATTTCATGGATCAACTATAATCCTTAGAAAAAACTGAGGCATTTACTTTCCTAATGTTCTCTATGCAGCCGCCCAAAAGGTCGTGATAGCAGAGATTTATCGAGTTCCAGTGATGATCTTCAAAATGATGTAAGTGCATCTTCAAAAACCGAGGCATTTACATTCCTGACTCTTTATATCAACTCCTTTTTGTTTTCGTATAAAATTTTCATTTCTCTCTTTTTTGTATATCAGGGAAAGCACCAGTTGGATAAAACTATTCAGATGCGTGAGGACCTTGAAAATGAGGCATGCCATTTCCTTAAAGACATTGTTCTGTATTAGTTTGATCTGGAAACCATAAAATCAGCTGACACTATCTCAGAGTTGGTGTAAAATCATGATGGATTTATTTCTTTGCCAGAGTCCATTTAAGTTAACTTCCCTATATTGCTTTCGGCATATAAAGATGAAAACATGTTAAATGCATGTGAAAGTAATCAAAGTTCTCCAGGCTTAGGCTTTGTTTGGATGCATGTGTATCCCCTTCCATCCACATGTGTTGGAGTGGAATGGAATGGAATTTAGTTCCACTCCAATCCACTTCGACACATGTGGATTGAGATGAATACATGCACATCCAAACAAGGCCTTAATGGATGTAGATTTATGGATATTCATGACCTGCAGAATTAGATCATGAACTCAATTGCATTTGCGAGGTACATAAAAGGATAAATGCCTATTGAATTTGTAGTCCCATTTAGGATTTATCTTTTGCTTGACTTCTACAGAAATTTTCATATTTAGCTCAGTTTTATTTTGCACACTGACATGCTTGGATACCTCAGGTGACAGTCATGCATTGATCACTGAATGCACAGGCCTTATTTACTCAGAAAAGCTTCACAATTAGTTGCCTATTGCATTACAATATATAGTATTATCTTTTCAGCTGAAGTTATATAGTACATGGGATGCACAATACCTGAACCATGATAGACTGATAGTATACTCAGCTACTTTTTAGATAGGCCGAGTACTTTTGTTCATGATGATTTAACTGTTTCTTGCATTTTATATTATGAGCTTTGCAGGTTAACCAGATTAAGGATAAAATATCTGCGAAAGAACAGCACATTGCAGATTTGCAGAAGAAAGCTCAGGTGATCTATGTCATGATTTTCAAAGGATTCTGCTGTCATCTTTTGCCCCATTTGTATATGAGATAGCCACTGTTTGGCCATCTCTTAGAGTCTCATTTGGGATGAGTTCTGATGATAAGTCAAAAAAACATTTTTCGCGTCAAACTGCAGAAATTAGAGGATGAATTGGTTGTTGCGGGAAAGTCTCTTCAGAACGACAATTAGCTGTTACAGACGTATGTGCTCTTCACTTGTTGGCTGCTTATTTATGCAAGATGCAGTTGGTAGTCCTGCAATGGCTTGTCTGATGAAAACATTATATGTGCAGCTGTACAAACATTTTCTTCAACTTCAAGACTACAACGATAGGGTCAAAACGGCTGAACAGAGGCTTCAGGTTATTATTTTCTCATCATTTGTTTCTTTCATAACTCTCGAGTTCCGTGGTCCTGTACTCGTTAGTGTTTGTTGAGAACAACTATCCAGTCGTTTAGGTTTGCTTGTGTTGGCAAGGTGAGGACGGTGTGCTGACTCTTTCTGTTTTGATACTAGTCTCTTGTTGATGCTGCCATGGTCGAGCTTGACATGGCCGAAGATGCTACCACCAGAGATGGCTCGATGTATGAGAACGGCGTGGTTTGAACACCCAAAAGGGCTGCCAGCTGTCATGGTCTGTGACGTTACTAATTTGTTAGACTTGTAGTTTGGATTTGCCCATGTAATAGAACTGTACTGTAACTAGAAACAGAATATGTTATGTAAGGACCAGAAAATGAGTGGCTCCACTGCACATTTGCTATTTTGGTCCGGAGTCCGGACTTGTCTTTCAAAGTTGAATTTATTAGCCGGGCTGACTATTGCTGATGCGGTATGATGTGACCGTGATATGTCAGCTGTTTGAGTTAAGCAAGTTTGTCTTGAGAAATTTTTGTGTTCATGTTTATCAACCACATCTATATGTGTATTTGGCGACAGAGTGGATGTCTAGACATTGGCGTGTGTTGATTCCTGAGCTTTGGCACCGTGCCTGAAGTTAGTTGCCGAGCCTGACGAGAGTAACAGCCAAATGCAGTCAAAAGATTACACAACCTTTTGTTTCGCTGGGAAGTTTCTTTTTTTCCCCTTAAAAGAGAGGTAAAGATACTGCGACTATAGTTTAGAATTAGAAGCGCTCGCCGATCGACCGCCCGTATCCCCGGCCAGCCGCCGTAACTCAGCAAGGCCACCGTCACGCGGGGCTCGCCGGCCCCGCGAGTTGGGTCTCCGGCCTCGGGCCGTCAAACACGGCCACGTCACGGTCTTCAGCACCCGCACGAGGACCCCTTCCGCTCTAGTAGCTCTGACTCTGAACAATTGATGACAGCTGAGTAGCTGAAGACTGCATGCTTCCACCCGAAGTGAAGTACTAGTGCCGCTGCTCTGCGCTGTACATGTACCCTGTTAGGTTGATCTCCTTCGACTCGGTACAACGATTGAGTCGGGTCTTGATCCGGCACCCTGATCGGGAGCGCCCAAACAAATCAATGGTTGGTGGACCCCCGTCGCGCAGCGCCATAAAAAAGAGGTGGGAGCTGAGGCACTAGGTACGAGGTTCACTACCGCTGCCACAATCCCCACCTACAAACCCTAAGCCGATCTAGAGAGACGCTGTGAGCGACGAGATGTGCCATCACTTCTCCCGTCGGACTCCACTGCTGTCCTACATCGACACCATGGCCAGCTCCTCCGCCAAGCCTACCGATGGTCGGTAACGCCTCCCCACTCTCATCCTATCTCTCTCAGTTTTAGTTCATGTTCTAGGGTTTACTATATCCTAAATGGAAGTTTATACCCGCTAGATCTACTACTAGTCGGTGTTAAGTTCTATCAATGGTATCAAAGCGAACCTAGTGTGTAGATCCAGATCGGGTAGAAAACTAAAAAGAAATAAGGAGATGAAAGATTTTGAATTCCTCGAACCTTAACCCTAACCCTAGAAGAAAGGTCGGCCAGGGAAGGGACCTACCTGGGTTTCCCTCACCACCTTGAGAGCGCTATCAGACCCATTTCTGCGTCTGTTTTTGGCCTTTAGGAAGATTTTCGTCACTTTATTGGAAGAGAGTCCGTCGGACACTAGCGCTACTCATGGCGCGAGGCTTTGATAATCCTCCATTTGAAATTCTGTGTAGGGCGCAAAGGGCACCACATTTTCCATATTTGGCACATCTTGCCGCTGTTGTTGCTCCCCCTCATTTCAATTGGTTCTATTGCAGCTCATTTTCACTCATTTTTGCCACGGTGGGATGGCTCCGGCCACAAATATCGCGCGTCCACAAAGGTAGTGAGAAAATTGGCATAAATCATTGAGTGGGCGCCAAGGCCGCCGCCACCTCTACATCGTGTCTACCCTTGAGAGACTGTAGCCAATAAAATGGTATCTGTTTTGGGCCATGGTGTGTAAGAAAGAGAGAAAGGGAGGGACGAAATGGACCTAGGGTTTGGGAGTAACTTATCATTGCCCCACCATATCCATCGTGGCTGCATGAGCCTTTTTTGATCTCGTGAAATCAACGCCGACCGTCGGATGGTGATGAGCGGTGAGATCGCTTGGGCTCGCTTCGCCCAAAGCGGATTGGCAAAAATCCCGACCATAGTCTTGTTGTGGCCCTATGGGGCGTGTGCGCGCGCCTTAATCATGATGGCATTCTCCGGGTTGAATGAATATCATTTTAATGATAAATTCAATGATTGTTTCAATTTTATTATTTTCTAGAAACAGTTTTGATGAATTTTGTCAAGTTTTGACGTTAAATCTCTGTCAAAATTTGAACCAACGGGATAATTTTTTTTTCAGAGAGTAGATGAGTACAGTAAAATGCTTCTGAAAAGTAGATAAATTATTTTTTCATATTTTCGCTGCAAAGTAGATGTTTATTATCTTCTAATTAAATTCGAACCAACGAGAAAATTTAATTTCAAGAGCAGTTAATTTTATTCGGTAAATTATGATATTGTTATTTTTCTGACGAACGTTGATAATAGCAATATTATAATTTTTTATTCATAAGTTTTTCCATGCATTAATTTTATTTCTTCCTAACAGTGATGTAGAAGTAATGTAGAATAATGTTGTATGTTTTAATTTTGACCAACGTTAAATTAAGGCATGCAATTATTATGTCATATTTTCTCAGTATCTCTAGCGTTGTTTTCAGGACTCAACCCTATAGCATTCATCTCACACATTCCGCCTCTTGAAGGGGGCAACTATCGTATATGGCGAGAGAAGTATGAATTAGCACTTGCGCTGTCCGAAAATGACCTAGCGTTTACCTCTCCGTGTCCTACTGAGCCAGTGGACCCGGTGAGGGAAGAAAATGAAACTGATGCTGATTTCGTTGCTCGGCAGCGAGATCATGCAGAAGTGATAATGAAATACGATCTTGATCGTAAGAAATGGGACATTTTGAACCGTAAGTGCTTGATGATGGCTAAGTCCACTATTTCATATGCAATAAGGGGGTTAATCCCAGATTGTGACACCGCCACTGAGTATCTCAAGAAAGTGGAGAGTCAGTTTACTGGCTCTTCAAAGGCTTATGCCAGTACCCTAATAAAGAAGTTATTCAATGAGAAATACTCTGGTGGAGGGATAAGAGAACACATATTGAAGATGAGCAACACGGCTTCTAAGCTCAAGCCAATGGATTTGGGGCTCAAGGATGAGTTCCTGATTCATTTGGTTTTTGCTTCATTGCCTAAAAAATATGAAACTTTTGTTGTTAATTACAACATGCAGCCTAACAAATGGGACATGGAGAAGTTCATTGCCATGTGTGTTCAAGAAGAAGAGAGGCTTAAAAGCTCATACGATGACTCTGCTAACCATGTGAAGGACTATAAAAAGAAGAACTTTAACAAGAATGTCAAACCTTAAGGGAAAGCCCCCCAGAATGATCACTATCAGAAGAACAACAATGTCCAAGTTGACAAGGATCAATGCAAATGATGCAAGAAGTATGGACATTACCAGAAGAACTGTCTAGATTTCCTGAAGAGCCTTTTAAAGAGAGGTGAGGACATTATTACATTCATAGATGAGTCCTTATATTTAAGTTATTCAAAATTTACTTGATGGATTGACTCATGTGCAACTATTCATGTTGCAAATTCATTACAGGGATTCCATACGAGGGGACCCTGCAAAGAGGAGAAAGAAGAATTAAAGTAGTAAATGGAGTTGAAGGTGAAGTTGAAGCCATTGGAGATCTCTCTCTAGAATTAGATGATGATTTTGTACTTCAGCTTTCAAATGTCATTTATGTACCCTCTTTACGTAGAAATTTGATAAGTGTTTCACGTCTAGACGATGATGGATATGATTGTCATTTTGATAATGGCAAATGTTAGATTATGTTTAATAATAAGTGTGTTGGTCTTGTCTTCCGACAAGATAAGCTTTATTGGTTATCACTTTCTGAGAATGTGAATGTTGTGAGCACTGAGAATGAGAATGCATCATCGTCTATGAATGCAAGAAATAAGCGGAAGAGAGTTCATGATGTATCATCGAAATTATGGCACTGTCGTTTAGGCCATATTTTGAGGGGGAGAATAGAGCGATTGATTAAAAAATCAATTCTTCCGCCATTAGAATTTTTAGATTTAGAACAATGCATTGATTGCATAAAAGGAAAGTATGTTAAGAAAATAAAGAAAGATATCAAACGAAGCACAGGAATTTTAGAAATAATTCACACAGACATCTGTGGTCCTTTTCTTGTGAAGAGTGTGGATGGTTATGATTCATTTATAATATTCACAGATGATTATTCTCATTATGGTTATAATTATCTAATTAAGGAAAGATCAGAAGCATTGGATAAATTTAAGATATTTAAGGCTGAAATATAAAATCAGCACAATTTAAAGATTAAGATAATAAAATCCAACCATGGGGGGAGTACTACGGTTGACACACTCCATATGACCAAGTTCCTGGACCTTTTGCAAGATTCTTACAGGAAAATGGCATAGTTGCCCAATACTCTACACCGGGCGAGCATCAGCAGAATGGAGTAGTTGAAAGACGCAACCGTACCTTAATGGATACGGTGAGAAGTATGATAAGTTACTCTACTCTACCGATAAGTTTATGGATGGAGGCGTTAAAACCGTCATTCATATTCTTAATCGAGTGCCAAACAAATCGGTGCCCAAACCACCATATGAGTTGTAGACAGGAAAGGAACCCTCACTTAACTATTTACGTGTGTGGGGTTGTCCAGCCTTGGCTAAAGTCTTTAACCCAAACATAGGGAAGCTAGACTCCAAGATAGTCAGTTGTCATTTCATTGGCTATCCGAAAAGTCAAAAGGTTATCGCTTCTATTGTCCTGACAGACATATGAAGTTTGTAGAAACAAGACATGCTGTGTTCTTGAAGGAAGAGTTGATCAAGGAGAGCATGGTAGCGCGAGAAATTAACCTAGAGGAGAAGCGGGTATATGTGCCTACTCCAATGGTTTAGGAGCTATTCTTCACGCTACCTGTTGTTGCTGCACCAACAATGCAAGACACTGTAGTAATAGCACATGTTGTTAGTTCTCCTATGGCGACAATGAATGAACATGAGGAACCTATCTTTTAGGATCCTGTAGAACC